TGGTCTGTGATGCCAGCGATTTTGCAATCGGCTGTGCATTAATGCAGTACGATCTTGAAGGCGTTGAACGCGTCGTCTGCTATCAGTCGCGTCAGCTGCAACCAGCTGAGCGGAACTATCCAGTGCATGACAAGGAACTCCTTGCCATGAAGTATGCACTCGTGAAGTTCAGAGTCTATCTATTAGGAGATAGACCCTTCATTGTTTACACTGACCATGCGTCATTACGCACGGCAGTGAACAGCCCGCACCTTTCACAACGAATGGCGCGATGGTTGCCATTCTTTGCAGAATACAACTTTACGGTCGAGTACAAACCAGGACGACTTAATGTCGTCGCTGATGCACTCTCACGTCGTCCCGACTTTGAAACAGTCGCGAAACCCAACAGTGAGACAGTCACTGTTGCGGTTATGACGTCCTCAGTACCATCTACAACGTTGTATGATGATGTGAGGCGGGCATACGCCCAAGATGGTGAGATTGTGAAGTTGTTGACACATCTCTCACTGCCATCTCGAGAATCGTTGAAACGATTGTCGTCTGCGTATCGATCTGCATCAGATCGATACACTACTCACAACGGTTTACTGTATTATACAGCCGTTTCTGGTGACACACCACGTGTTGTCATTCCAGATGATACTGATCTGCGTATGCGGATCATGTTCGAGTATCACGATGCTCCTATAGGAGGACATCGTGGCCGAGAGAAAACATATCTCACGGTAAGTCGAGACTTTTACTGGCCCCGCCAGTATCAGTTTGTGCGAAAGTATGTTCGCGCATGCGAAGTCTGTCAACGAGTGAAGTCAAGTCCTTCACTGCGTGCACCTTTACAGCCTCTACCGGTTCCGGCTGAGTGCTGGGAATCCATCTCAATGGATTTCGTCTTCGGGTTACCCAAAGACGCACGCGGGAATACGGGTATTCTCGTATTTGTTGACAGATTCAGCAAAATGGTACACCTTGTGGCTGTACCAGAGACAATCACGGCAAGTGGCTGTGCTTGTGTCTTTATTGACACCATCTTCCGACTTCATGGGTTGCCCCGTGAACTCGTATCAGACAGAGATCCACGATTCACTGCTGATTTCTGGCGTTCCGTGTTCAAATCACTCGGAACGCGCTTGAAGATGTCGACATCTGATCATCCAGAGTCAGATGGTCAGACGGAACGTGCCAATCGTGTCCTTGAAGAGATACTTCGAGGATACGTACACTCCTTTAAGAGTTGGAGTGAGTTTTTGCCAATGGTAGAGTTTGCCATCAACAACTCGGTGCATGCGTCCACGACACATACACCGTTTTACGTGAATGGCTTGCGCCATCCGCGTGTACCCACCTTACTAGAGTGTAACTCTGGTTTAAGGGGGGGAGGGACTCGCGCGAGCAAAAAACGATTTGGTTCACGCTCATCACGCTCTGACGAAGAGGTCATTGCGTTTGATGCCGATATCGATAACATCGATGTTGAAGAAGATGATGCCAGTGAGAGTGCGGAAGCCCTCACTGAAGAAAAGGTTGATGTTGCTGCAGTGCACTAACAGCGCACTGAAGCTAACGAGTCATCAGATGAGTTCATACTGGCTCGTGAAACGGTAGCCCGTTTTGTGCAAGATTCCATCGCCGAAGCGGTGGATAAGCAAAAGCAAAACGCTGACAAGAATGGAAGGACAAACACTCTTTTATTTAATAAAGGTGACTTAGTCCTACTGTCTACGGTTAATCTACCAAAGCATGTAGTGACTAACTTGGGTAGCAGTAAACTACTACCCAAGTACATTGGCCCTTTTCGTGTATTGCACCGCCTAGGCAATGCATACACGATCGAGTTACCACGTAAGATGCGAACGCATCCCACGTTTTACGTTGGTCGGCTTAAGCCGTACCATCAGTACGCTGCTTCTTCCGATGAAGAACGCCCTTGCGCTCAAGCACCTTACAGAGAGCCTTGTGCTCCCGATGGTGGGCATCAACAAGGGTCTGAAGAGCAGTTATCTCAGCCCGAGACCGATCAACAATCCCACGAGCTACCCTTAGCTCGTCACGAAGAGATGTCAGAGATCTCTCGTTCTCGAGCTGAGCAAAGGCAAACTCAGCTCGATGCTTCGAGGCAGTGTCCGCCATTTGGAGACGCCTATTCCGCTCATGTTCGAGATCGTCGCGTAACCCTTGCGTTACGCGATCAAAGAAGCTCTCGGGTACACACCGATCCACATGATCGTGTGGAGAGCGTCTTTCCTCCTCCTCCACCTCCATTAGAGGACTCTCGCGGTGGCCAGCGCTATCTGGTTGAGCAGCTGTTGAACCACCGCGACGTGAACGGACGTCGGACGAGTTATCTCGTCCGGTGGCGCGGCTATCCCCCGTCCTGGGATACTTGGGAGCCCCGCTCCCAACTGATGATTGACGTACTGGGTCTGGTCGAGCAGTACGACGCGGCACATTCTGTGCTGCAGAAGGACCGCTGGAGAAAGTCTTCCCGGCACGGTCGTAAAGGAATTTCAGGTTGTCAAACTCTTCGTACATCTCAGTAGAGATACGTACGCGCCACCACGGGCTGGTAAGGAGGTAAGCCTCCTTAGGTGCTCGCGCAGAGTTGTTCACACAACATGGGCACGAGTCTACCATGAGAGGCAGGGTAATCCTCTCTCCCTTGACAGACGATGCAGCTTCTAGCGTGCACCTGTTGGGGTTCGCTTTTCAAACTTATCACGAGCTTTGATAAGTTTGTCGTTCCAAACGTCACGACCTACATCCTCAAGGTTATGGATGTAGGCGTTCCACGCCTGAAGTAGTGAGGGACCATCACGCTTGTGATTCCCACTGTACCATCGATGCCTAAAGAAAGCATCGATGAAGAATTCATTCTCAGCGCGATAGTTCTTCGCGCTGGGGTCAAGGTGATGGATCCTTGACGAATCGAACAACCGTGTTCGATAACGATCACTCGTCGTCGCCGACAAGTGATCCATGACTGATTTTGGAGGCATCCATGCCTTCTTCTCAGGAGCGAGACGCAAGACATTGCGGTCCCGCTCTTCCTGCGATGTGCCGACAGAAGTACTGGCACCTCGTTGCGAAGTGGTGTCCATAGGAGAACCGACACCACTGTTAGCGCCCGAGTCTCGCGACCTCGAGCGCCTTCGCTTCGGCGATGGTTCATCTAATTCATCAGATGAACCAAAGATGCTACGACGCAAAGCATCGTCCATGCCACGCTTGGCAGGCGGCTTGGATTCGATAGCCGTCGATACGGATCCGTCTTCCGTATCAGGAGAGTATGATACACCGAGCTCATACTCTGTATAGACATGCGTGTCTTCATGACCAGCGCCTGCATCACCAAGTGACACAGACTGGGTCGCTTCAGCAACCGATGAGACATCAGTTGCTGTGGTTTCTGCTTCGGCGTCCGCACAGAGACGTGCGGACGCGCTCTCGGCGGCCTTGATCGCGCATCGCATGGGCTTGTTAACCATGCGATGAAATGTTGGGAAGTGGACTCGGACCAACAAGTGCAAACCCTGTCCCAAATGACTTGGGACGAGTATCCATTTAGTCAATCAGTCACTAAAGTGACTGATGGTTAAGGGGGGGGTGATGTAACGGGGTGAATCGTTACATAACAATTTATAAGAAATTGTTAATAGAATATAACTATAAGAGTTATATTCTCAGAATATTGTCATAAGGACAAATATTCTGTAGCACTTACGAGTAGTTCCTAATCGGTTGATATAGGCCATTATATCAACCGACGAAGACGCGCCACGACAGACGCACGCAATGAGTGGTGAGCAGATAGTTGATTTACACATTTGTATTTAGACATAGTTAGATGAAGATAAATAGTGATTTATTGCAGACATTATCTATTATAAATACAGTTCTACTTTTTACTTTAACCAAGTACTCGCTTCTTCTTACCGTCTTCCTCTGCACGTACGAGTGTACGTGAAGTTCCGAGGCACGGCCTTATTCTGTCATCAGAATAAGTAGCTTGTACTGTCACCAGTACAAGCTTCAGGGTGCCCCGTTACACCACCACGTTATGGGACACTTGTCGAGCACGCCCCCACAAAAGCCCTGGAAGTAGTGGTGAGTGACGCGTGCATCAAGAAACAAAGGGGCGTAGCGTACAGCCAGTAGATGCGTCTCCAGTATCCTTCTTCGCTCTTGGCTGCAGGATTCTAGGCAGCCAATAAAGCAGTGACGGATTCTAATGACATAGTGCACTCGAACGCGGGTGGGAGCGCGTTGAGCACGATAAGTACAGTCTTGGTGATGCTGATCAGGAGGAGCTAGAGATTGCACGACCTTCTTTCTCTTTCGACTGAGTCTAAAGTCGGCAATCGCGATGATGACGTGACACGTCTTGTGTTGTATTGGACGTTGAGTCGAGTCGAGCATGAAGGAGGAGGTGTAGGATCGTCGTATCGATAAAAAGCAGGATAAGCGTGAACAAAACCACATTTGTTGTTGTGCAAACTGTCAATGCGTTATGCCGAGCTTGTCGATCAGTATGTTTGAAAGTGTCGAATGACTACGAGTTCGTGTGCTGGTCCCCACGATAACCATTATTGGCGTCAACTGGTAACTTTTTTCTTTTACGTCTGCGTGAACGATTGTCAGACACTTTTGCGCTTCATGGCGGTTTGCTCCCGCTTTGGATTTGTGCTGCGGATCTGGTGGCGACAGTTTGACGCTCCAGCATTTGCGATATTAGCGAGGACTGTCACATTAACATTGCCAGCCTACAGCACATCTGAAGTAACGTCTGTCGCTGGTCATATGTGAGCTTCATGGCATGTTTGCGCTGGTGTTTGACCTGTAACTACAACGTTGCAACACGGAAACATGGCGACTTGTACAAGAGCGTCATTCGGCACGGGGATGCTGATAGACGGAGAGGACTCGCGACGTTCAATCGGCCGTTTCGAATGTGTCCGTGGCATCCAGTACTTGCTGTTGTGTGATGAGGCTTAACGACACCAATGCTTGCTCGTGCTGGTTTACAACAAGTGGTTGAGCGAATGTGTTGCTGCAATGGCGCTCGAGAGCTTTTGCAAGATTTCCAGCAGACCTCGATGAACCGTGTGACGCTCCTCATGCTGCTCGAGCTGCCTTTGCCAGTATCTCAGAACACTTGATGCCGGCGGCAAAAAGTCGCTAAAACTTACGTTTGAACAACAGCAGCATTGCGGTCTTAGTCGCGTATCCGTCATGTTCTCGCGAAGCTATTGCTGCGCATGCATGCGACGACTTTAGGACATAGGATACATGTGTCATCTGATTCAGCAGTCCTGCAGTCTCTGTCTGACAAACAGAGCTCGCATCGTGGTCATCATACTATCAGAAAAGGGATCCTTGAACGCTTAACCTAATTCACCGAGGTATGACAGACGAGAGCGCTTGTAAAATCGAGTTTCGTGTAAGATCTCGGCTCCAGAGCTTTGGCTGGTATTCGTGCAGGCGAGACGAGCAGCGGTTAGATCTCGTGAGTCTGGCAACAACAACAAAATGCCAATTGTAACGGGGCACCCTGAAGCTTGTACTGGTGACAGCACAAGCTACTTATTCTGATGACAGAATAAGGCGGTGCCTCGGAACTTCACGTACACTCGTACGTGCAGAGGAAGACGGTAAGGAGAAGCGAGTACTTGGTTAAAGTAAAAAGTAGAACTGTATTTAGTATAGTTAATGTCTGCAATAAATCACTATTTATCTTCATCTAACTATGTCTAAATACAAATGTGTAAATCAACTATCTGCTCACCACTCATTGCGTGCGTCTGTCGTGGCGCGTCTTCGTTGGTTGATATAATGGCCTATATCAACCGATTAGGAACTACTAGTAAGTGCTACAGAATATTTGTCCTTATGACAATATTCTGAGAATATAACTCTTATAATTAAATTCTATTAACAATTTCTTATAAATTGTTATGTAACGATTCACCCCGTTACATCACCCCCCCCCTTAACCATCAGTCACTTTAGTGACTGATTGACTAAATGGATACTCGTCCCAAATCATTTGGGACAGGGTTTGCACTTGTTGGTCCGAGTCCACTTCCCAACATTTCATCGCATGGTTAACAAGCCCATGCGATGCGCGATCAAGGCCGCCGAGAGCGCGTCCGCACGTCTCTGTGCGGACGCCGAAGCAGAAACAACAGCAAATGATGTCTCATCGGTTGCTGAAGCGACCCAGCCTGTGTCACTTGGTGATGCAGGTGCTGGTCATGAAGACACTCGTGTCTTCACAGAGTACGAGCTCGGTGTCTCGTACTCTCCTGATACGGATGACGGATCCGTATCGACGGCGATTGAATCTAAGCCGCCTGCCAAGCGTGGCATGGACGATGCTTTGCGTCGTAGCATCTTTGGTTCATCTGACGAATCAGATGAACCATCGCCGAAGCGAAGGCGCTCGAGGTCGCGAGACTCGGGCGCTAATAGTGGTGTCGGTTCTCCTATGGACACCACTTTACAGCGAGGTGCCAGTACTTCTGTCGGCACGTCGCAGGAAGAGCGGGACCGCAATGTGTTGCGTCTCGCTCCTGAGAAGAAGGCATGGATGCCTCCAAAATCAGTCATGGATCACTTGTCGGCGACGACGAGTGATCGTTATCGAACACGATTGTTCGATTCGTCAAGGATCCATCACCTTGACCCCAGCGCGAAGAACTATCGCGCTGAGAATGAATTCTTCATCGATGCTTTCTTTAGGCATCGATGGTACAGTGGTAATCACAAACGTGATGGTCCCTCACTACTTCAGGCGTGGAACGCCTACATCCATAACCTCGAGGATGTAGGTCGTGACGCTTGGAACGACAAAATTATCAAAGCTCGTGATAAGTTTGAAAAGCGAACCCCGACAGGTGCACGCTACAAGCTGCATCGTCTGTCAAGGGAGAAAGGATTACCCTGCCTCTCATGGTAGACTCGTGCCCATGTTGTGTGAACAACTCTGCACGAGCACCTAAGGAGGCTTACCTCCTTACCAGCCCGTGGTGGCGCGTACGTGTCTCTACTGAGATGTACGAAGGGATTGACAACCTGAAATCCCTTTACGACCGTGCCGGGAAGACTTTCTCCGGCGGTCCTTCTGCGGCACAGGATGTGCCGCGTCGTACTGCTCGACCAGACCCAGTACGTCGATCATCAGTTGGGAGCGGGGCTCCCAAGAATCCCAGGACGGGGGATAGCCGCGCCACCGGACGAGATAACTCGTCCGACGTCCGTTCACGTCGCGGTGGTTCAACAGCTGCTCAACTAGATAGCGCTGGCCACCGCGAGAGTCCTCTAATGGAGGTGGAGGAGGAAAGACGCGCTCCACACGATCATGTGGATCGGTGTGTACCCGAGAGCTTCTTTGATCGCGTAACGCAAGGGTTACGCGACGATCTCAAACATGAGCGGAATAGGCGTCTCCAAATGGCGGACACTGCCTCGAAGCATCGAGCTGAGTTTGCCTTTGCTCAGCTCGAGAGCGAGAGATCTCTGACATCTCTTCGTGACGAGCTAAGGGTAGCTCGTGGGATTGTTGATCGGTCTCGGGCTGAGATAAATGCTCTTCAGACCCTTGTCGATGCCCATCATCGGGAGCACAAGGCTCTCTGTAAGGTGCTTGAGCGCAAGGGCGTTCTTCATCGGAAGAAGCAGCGTACTGATGGTACGGCTTAAGCCGACCAACGTAAAACGTGGGATGCGTTCGCATCTTACGTGGTAACTCGATCGTGTATGCATTGCCTAGGCGGTGCAATACACGAAAAGGGCCAATGTACTTGGGTAGTAGTTTACTGCTACCCAAGTTAGTCACTACATGCTTTGGTAGATTAACCGTAGACAGTAGGACTAAGTCACCTTTATTAAATAAAAGAGTGTTTGTCCTTCCATTCTTGTCAGCGTTTTGCTTTTGCTTATCCACCGCTTCGGCGATGGAATCTTGCACAAAACGGGCTACCGTTTCACGAGCCAGTATGAATTCATCTGATGACTCGTTAGCTTCAGTGCGCTGTGAGTGCACTGCAGCAACATCAACCTTTTCTTCAGTGAGGGCTTCCGCACTCTCACTGGCATCATCTTCTTCAACATCGATGTTATCGATATCGGCATCAAACGCAATGACCTCTTCGTCAGAGCGTGATGAGCGTGAACCAAATCGTTTTTTGCTCGCGCGAGTCCCTCCCCCCCTTAAACCAGAGTTACACTCTAGTAAGGTGGGTACACGCGGATGGCGCAAGCCATTCACGTAAAACGGTGTATGTGTCGTGGACGCATGCACCGAGTTGTTGATGGCAAACTCTACCATTGGCAAAAACTCACTCCAATTTTTAAAGGAGTGTACGTATCCTCGAAGTATCTCTTCAAGGACACGATATGCACGTTCCGTCTGACCATCTGACTCTGGATGATCAGATGTTGACATCTTCAAGCGCGTTCCGAGTGATTTGAACACGGAACGCCAGAAATCAGCAGTGAATCGTGGATCTCTGTCTGATACGAGTTCACGGGGCAACCCATGAAGTCGGAAGATGGTGTCAATAAAGACACAAGCACAGCCACTTGCCGTGATTGTCTCTGGTACAGCCACAAGGTGTACCATTTTGCTGAATCTGTCAACAAATACGAGAATACCCGTATTCCCGCGTGCGTCTTTGGGTAACCCGAAGACGAAATCCATTGAGATGGATTCCCAGCACTCAGCCGGAACCGGTAGAGGCTGTAAAGGTGCACGCAGTGAAGGACTTGACTTCACTCGTTGACAGACTTCGCATGCGCGAACATACTTTCGCACAAACTGATACTGGCGGGGCCAGTAAAAGTCTCGACTTACCGTGAGATATGTTTTCTCTCGGCCACGATGTCCTCCTATAGGAGCATCGTGATACTCGAACATGATCCGCATACGCAGATCAGTATCATCTGGAATGACAACACGTGGTGTGTCACCAGAAACGGCTGTATAATACAGTAAACCGTTGTGAGTAGTGTATCGATCTGATGCAGATCGATACGCAGACGACAATCGTTTCAACGATTCTCGAGATGGCAGTGAGAGATGTGTCAACAACTTCACTATCTCACCATCTTGGGCGTATGCCCGCCTCACATCATCATACAACGTTGTAGATGGGACTGAGGACGTCATAACCGCAACAGTGACTGTCTCACTGTTGGGTTTCGCGACTGTTTCAAAGTCGGGACGACGTGAGAGTGCATCAGCGACGACATTAAGTCGTCCTGGTTTGTACTCGACCGTAAAGTTGTATTCTGCAAAGAATGGCAACCATCGCGCCATTCGTTGTGAAAGGTGCGGGCTGTTCACTGCCGTGCGTAATGACGCATGGTCAGTGTAAACAATGAAGGGTCTATCCCCTAATAGATAGACTCTGAACTTCGCGAGTGCATACTTCATGGCAAGGAGTTCCTTGTCATGCACTGGATAGTTCCGCTCAGCTGGTTGCAGCTGACGCGACTGATAGCAGACGACGCGTTCAACGCCTTCAAGATCGTACTGCATTAATGCACAGCCGATTGTGAAATCACTGGCATCACAGACCACATAAAATGGCATGTCCTGATCGGCTATTGCTAGGACTGGGGATTGTATCAAGCTCTGCTTGATACCATCAAAGGAGTGCTGACATTCAGCGTTCCATAACCACCTCTCGTTCATTTTCAGCAAACGAGAGAGGTGTACAGTCATCTCGGCGTAATTGCGTGAATACTTATGCAAATACGCCGCTAGCCCAAGGAATTTTCGAAGACCTTTGACATCAACCGGCACAGGCCAGTCGGTGATCGCCTTGATCTTTTCGGGATCAGGACGTACACCGTTCTTACCAACGATGCACCCAAGAAGTGGCATTTCGCTTGCTGCAAATATAAACTTCTTGAGATTTGCATACAATTGATGCTTTCGCGTGACTGTAAGAACCTGTCGGACGTGGTACCTGTGAACCTCAACGTCCGACTTTCCATCCACATCTCGACTATGGATGAATACGTCATCGAAATAACTCGGCGCGAATTCTCGTACTGGTCTCAACAGATGTGATACACATCTGTTGAACGTGGCAGGGGCATTACTAAGCCCTTGTGGCATTACTAGCCATTCCCAGAGCATGCCGCTAGGCGTGCTAACTGCGGTATAGGGTATATCCCGTTCCCGCATAAGGATTTGATAGAAGCCATCCATCAAATCCATGGACGAAAAGATGGTACTCTTTGACATACCATCAATGATTACGTCCTTCCTCGGTATCGGCGTCTGAGCCGGTACCGTTGCAGCGTTCAATTTGTTGAACGCATGCACTATCCGCCACCCTCCTGTTGCTTTTCGCACACAGAAGGTCGGAGAGCTATGTGGGGAAGTTGATTCCCTCACATGGCCCGCAGCTAAACGATCGGCAAAGAACTTGTCGATCGCAAGTACTTGTTCACGAGGCAGTGGCCACTGCTTCATGACACAGTACTTCGAGCCTGGTTTAAGCTCGACCTCGTGTCGAATACCTTTATCCTTCGGTAATTCGCACGGAACGGTTTCAGGGAATACATCCTTGTATTCAACCAAATCTTCATAGAGAGGATTTTCTTGAGCGATTCCCATGATTGGGAGTCATATCGCTCAATTCGTGTCTTTTCATCTAGGACACTCTCGTCCATAGATGAACTACTGAGAACTCTCTCGTTTTCAGTGAACACTGTTGCTGACCTTATGTCGGTTACACACTCGTCGTCAGCGACGAGTACGCAGATCTGCTTGACTTTGCCACTACGCAGATCACGCAAGAACCTTTTATGTTCGAGCGTTGGCAACTGAGTGATCTCCGAAGTTAACTTCGGAGGCGCAATCAGATCAAGTGTATAAGCGCCTACACTTGATCCGTTATTGACTATGACATTCAATGTCTCTGTCATTTCCTGGGGACTTATTCCCTCAGGCTTCGAAGGACTTATTCCTTCGTCTTCCCGGGGACTTATTCCCGCGGGTTTCGGGGAACTTATTTCCGCCGTATTTGTAATATCGGGACTTATTCCCTTAACTTCCTCTAGCTGGGGTTGCGCAACCACGGCGAGATCCTCTGCGAAAGACTCTCCAGTCGATCTAGGATTATCGTTTCGCTTAACCTGAGCGATCGATTGTTTCTCTTCTAGATGTTCCCCGCTAGGGATACATCTTTGTCCCAGTCCACCCGACTTATTCGAGTGGTGGACCTTCGGCGCAGCCTGTGTTTCCTCACAGCCGCCGGAACTTTGCTCCGAAGTGTAACCGTTTGGTACACTAAGGTTTTGTGCAGTCGTACTAACGACCGTACCACAAGTGAGGCCATCGCACTCACTCGTAGTACATCCACACGCTTGTGGACGCTCCAAAACGTTCATCAGATGGCCATCTGATGAACAAGCGGCAGGCATCGTTACTGTCCGATGTTGCCAGTTTACTCGTGGTTCGTACCTTCTGAGCCACGGTATTCCAAGGATGACATCAAATTTGTCATCCAAATCCAATACGATAAAGTCATCGTCATATTGGGTATCTTCTAGCGTATAGTGGATCTTCACTATACGCTTCATGACGGTTACGGATGCGCCTGTCGCAAGACGTACCGTCATCCTCGTAGGAGGTGTGTCACATTCACTGAACTTAAAGTGACCATCTTCTAGCGATTGGCGTCGCACAAAATTGTTGGACGCCCCACAATCGACTAGAGCTCGAAGGGACAACTTATTCGTCACTTCGAGTTTCAAGGTAATGAGTGAGACCTCATTACCTAGAGCAGCAACGCACAACGTTTGTGTGTTGGGAGCAACCTTCATCAAGAGGCCTACAAATTCTCTTGACGTTGCTAGACCAGTAGGGTGCTCCGCACCTACTGATCCTGTCCGTTTTTTGACGGTCCATCCCGTTGTTGCATCTTTGCACCAACTGCGGACCCTCGTCCCTGCCCCTTTCTCATGGGTGGACGGTCACTACGCCCAGTGTCGCGAGACACTGGACGAGGGGCACTACACTCGTAAGCGTAGTGTCCTGTCTTTTGACATCTGTTGCATCTCTGCAACTTCTTGTAGCCTGTAGAGCGAGCCTTCTCGCTCTCTACATAACAGAGTTCCATCGGCTCTGGACCTCCGTTGTCATATCGTCTCGGTTGACGATATGATGTCGAGCTGGCGCGAGCCTGTCTCAGACTGAAGTCTTCCTGCTCCGCAATGGAAATGGCTTGTTCTAGTGAATCTAGTTCAAGCCGGAACAGGTGAGTCTTGACGGGACCATCCGCAAGACCCTGCATGAACACCGAAACCAACGTGTGTTCATCCACCGGATTGGAACTTATACAACTCGTGAGATGTCGTATATGTTGGGCGTAAGCGTGCACATCACGCTTACCCTGTTTGAGCTTCAAGAGTTCGGTTCGAGCTCTGAACTCAGCTCTAGGCGGTTCAAATGTTTGTCTGAGCCGCGACTTGAAGACTTCCAACGACCCAAACGCATATGGGTCGTGCAACTTGAGCCCCAGTGCCCAAGTCTTGGCACGTCCTGCCAGATTTGACTGGGCAAACGCAACTTGAATATCCCCGTCGTCGATGCGACGCGCCCTTATGGAGTCATCCAATTCGACGAACCATCTCAAGAGGGAGTCCTCTTCGACTCCCCTATACTTGGAGATGTCAATCTTCAAGGTTTCGGGCCGACGCGAGTGCATCGACCCACCAGCAGCAGCCTGCTGCTGTCTCAACAGTTCAAACTGTTGAGCACCTTGTTCTCTCAACAACTCTGCTTGTTGAGAACCTTGTTGGTGAAGCAAGGCTACTTTCTCGCGTTCAGCGTCAAGTTCATTTTGAATGAACTTGGCGATAGTAGCATGTTGTGCATCTCTATTGAGAGCCTCTAGCATGACGCTAACAGCATGGATGCCCATGGTCGAACCCATTCGTTCAACCGCATCCCATTCGACATCGCTCAAATGGGAGTAGCCGTCGCGCGTAGCGTGAAAGCTTTGGTCATCTTCATCATCCAACATATTCATGTTGGATGTGAACGCGGTCCTTGGACGGACTACGAAGTGCTACCAGGTGTAACGGGGCACCCTGAAGCTTGTACTGGTGACAGTACAAGCTACTTATTCTGATGACAGAATAAGGCGGTGCCTCGTAACTTCACGTACACTCGTATGTGCAGAGGAAGACGGTAAGAAGAAGCGAGTACTTGGTTAAAGTAAAAAGTAGAACTGTATTTATAATAGATAATGTCTGCAATAAATCACTATTTATCTTCATCTAACTATGTCTAAATACAAATGTGTAAATCAGTTATCTGCTCACCACTCATTGCGTGTGTCTGTCGTGGCGCGTCTTCGTTGGTTGATATAATGGCCTATATCAACCAATTAGGAACTACTTGTAAGTGCTATCAGAAAAGGGATCCTTATGACAATATTCTGAGAATATAACTCTTATAGTTATATTCTATTAACAATTTCTTATAAATTGTTATGTAACGATTCACCCCGTTACACCAATAGAGCTGCAAAATCAGGCTCTTCCAGTATTTTCGAGCGAGAGCAGCAGCAGCAGCGCTGCTTCTTCTTTCTGCGCAGAGCACCATCTTCTGAAGTTGTCGTCGAACGTTTGTGTAGTTCATACCACGATCACCGCGACACTGTCCTCGCTACCCTCGAAAAGAGCCTCTTGAACAGGAAATTGCGAGCTTTTCGATTGCTGAGAGACAGCAGGTACAGAACGCACATGTCAACAGCTTCTCCGTCACTCAGAGACTCCAGAAACTGTTGCATCTCAGAACGAAGAACAAACTGTCCATCGCTTGGCTCTAATCTAATGAACGGCTTCAAGAATAAGTGACATGCAACCAAACATGCCGAGTCGTGCAATGCAAAAGCAGTTGAACTTAAACACGAGTGGAGTTCGTGGCAGCAAAAGTCGCATGTCCTCAATGTAACGGGGTGCCGGACTCTCAAGCCAAAATGCAGCGAGTTTTGCTTCGCTGACAACAAAAAGCTATGACTGTAGTTTAGGACGATAGCGATGGATGCAGCGATAGCGTGTCGAGAAGATGCAGGCAGGATCAACTGGAAATGCAAGACATCTCAATGTAAACAACATCAATCAACAACGTATGCCCCAGCTGGACGACTGCGGGACATTTAGTCATACGACACAATGCAAGATTTGCACAAGACAGATTGACGTTACTCCTCACCCATTGTTTTTTAGCATGAAATGGACCATCGTACATGTTGTTGGGCCCTCTAGCAGGACAACAACTGCTTCGAAATGCTGCGTCGTAATGAGTGCTGCCATCTCAAGTTCCATTGCTTGTTTCCCTGAATCATGCTTGTGTGCTGTGCTGATGTCGTCAACCTTCCTTGTAAGATATTTATGCTTGCTGCCATCCCGAGTTACATTTCGTACTTCACTCCATGGCCGCTTGTTGTGCTGATGTCTTCAATCTCTCCTGTGAGATGTTGTCTCCTTCCTCTCCGCACCTTGCCCGTCCTCTCTTCAGCAACTTCAACGGATCGTCATTAACATCTCGCACGACCGTTGAAAGGCGACAAGTGTCGAGTATCTCGGCATGGTGTACGCCTTCCTACTTCTTGAGACCCTTGAGCATCTTTTGCCGGCGGCCAGTCGAGAGCTTGTTCTGCATGAGGAAGGGTGCTTGGATGCTGCTGAACTTGTCCTCGTTGCCCGGAGTCGCACCGGCACTTAGCCCGCGGTCACCGCCGTTTGCTAAGAAGCTTCTACTGAGATTATTACTATTGTGCCCACGCGTGCCATTTCCACCCAGGACCGACGAGCTCGTGATGCACTGCGCCAGAGGCTGATCGGCAGGCACAGGTGGGGGAGGAGTCCGGTTCTGCCGCCATGTGTACGATTCTTGCGACTTTATCGCCTTTCGCTGCTGAGTTTGTTGTGGCTGAGGCGGTGGTGGTGATGGTGAAGGTGACGGCGCCCGACGTTGATGCTGCGGAGCTGGTGCTGGGATTGACGTTGGTACTGGTGACGGTGCTGGAGCACGAGACTGTGTGCCACCCACATTTCGCGTCTGGAAGGTCAATGTCAACGGTTTTGGCATCACCTTGAGCAATGTCATGACTTCCTCGAACGATCTGTCGCGAACGTGCACACTGCGGCCGTCGACTGAGATTAGGCAGTCATTTAACACAGACTGTGGCAAATGCGCTGCACACCCGGTGCCTGTAACGCGGCTAATGTAAGGATACTCGAACCCGTTCTCGGCGCCACGCAACGAAAGGCCAAGCGGGGCGCCATCTTGCCACACAATGCTGTAGGAGCGCATACCATGGTCCTCGCCAGCTGCGGCGAGTGCTGCTTTCCGACTATGGCTTGGAGCAGGTACGGCGTGCCGAGTTGGTGAGTTTCCACCAGAATTTGACGACCAAGAACCGTGTCGTTCATGATGATGACGAGAGGACTTGCGCCGAAAGAAAAGCGACACCGGGCGTGGCACATTCTTAAGATGTGCTACGATGTCCGAGAATGCCACATGTGACACGTCCATGTCGTTGATGTGCGTGACGTCGTCACCGACGCAATCCTGAGCAAGATGAGCTGCTGCGCCCTGAGAAGCAATGCGCTTAATGAATGCACCCGTTTCCGGTTTTGCGTCGATTGTAAGACCCAGTGGGCCCGACCCCCACACAACCTTGTATAAATCGCTTGGAGGCTCGCGTGACACTTGCCTCGTGATTTCAGTGGCATGGTAGCTCGCAGCAGGGGCTGGCACTGGTGATGACTGCGGACGAGGACTCATGTGTGCCGGAGCATTGTCGTAGCCCGAATGCGTCCTTGCCGAGTTGCTACCATCACTTCTAGCAGAAAGGGCCGTACCATTGCTACGGTGCGAATATGGGTCTCTAGTATCATCGTCAACCAGGGCCGAGCGGAATCGCAACAACACAGGTTTTGGCGCCGTCTTCAAAAATGAAACGACATCTTCAAAGTGCATCGATGCTGCCTTGATGCCGTTCATGCTCTCCAAGAAGTCGCCCACCTGCGCTTTGTCAATACCTACGGAGTTACCCGTACCAGTGACCTTTTTGATAACTGGAAGATCGCCGTCGTGCAGACCTGGAATGATCGTTAGACCTAACGGCCCTTCACCCCAATTGACTGAGTACTTGCTCGGTCGTGACATGCTGATACTGAGGTTCATCACTGACGGCGCGCGATCGTCAATGGAGGCACTGACATCTTCGTGCTTCGTAGTGCTGGGCGCACGTGAAACAGTCACAATATTACGCGGTGGCACCGCGGAAGGCGATTCCGTGTCTACTGCTGGTTGTTGAGTAGGCCCACCGACACCGCGGAATCGGAGCTTAGCAGGTAACTGCACCTTCTTTAGAATCGACATGGAAAGTGAACAGCCGAGCTGGATAGTGTCGATGTTGTTTATAGCAACGAGAACGTCGCCGATGGCAATATTCTGCTTCACAGCCACTGATCCCGACTTCTTGGTCAAGCGGTTGACGATGGGAATCTTCTGCGTGGCACAGTCATCCTTCAACGTGACACCGAGCGGCCCATTCGACCACGTTACTGTATAGTCGTGTATCTTACACGTTCGTGAAGACGGGTCTCTTGCCTCAAACTTCATGATTATAGGCGATGCATATGCCGCGAATACGTCATTCAGGTCATCCTCAGTCTGCACCGCATCGTCTATAGACCGTCCGTTAATCGAAAGCAACTTGTCACCCACGCAAATGTGCGCCAATGACTCGTCAGCATCCAGCTTCGTGACAGTATTCCATATGCCTGCAGTGCCATCAGCACAAAACTGCAGACGAGGCAAGAAACTGTGCTTCCACACGACCACACGCAGTGCATCAAATGCTGCACAAGCGTTGTTCCATGATGACTCTTTCGACACCGTGCGAGGACGACTAACTGTAGCCTCCGCAGATCCATCGATCGCAGCGACTCCAGCCGCGACAGCCTCTTCAGCCGAAAGTGGCACAGCCACCTTGTCCTCAGACTGTGGGTTGGACGCCAGGAACGAGTGTTCCATCGACTTCTGCAGCGTCTGCATTTCCTGTGATTCCATTTCCAATCCGTTCTTCTTGGCCAATGCGGTCCAGAAGGTCGACGTCGTCATTTCGCTCTGAAAGCGTTCCCGCATTTCCATAATGATGCGATTCATTTCGTCGTCGCGCCAATTCGCTTTCTCCTCACGCATGCGATTTTCAATTGCCTGAGCAATGCGCGCCTCCTCCTGCTTTTTCAGCCGCCGCAAGATCTTCTCTTCAATGCGTTTCTCGACATCCGCGTCGACGCTGACAGTTCGCTGTACAGAGAGTGACACGGACACCAGAGTCAGTCCAGAAACGTTCGATCCAATGAGCAGTAGCAGCAGCCCTTCTACTGCTTCCTTACCGCAACCGTGCTACCAGACGATTCAACACTGCGTGAGCTATTGACCCGTCGGGACTTGGTCCGGCTCTTTTTCTTGCCTTTTTTCTTCTTGGACTTGGCTTCCTCCACTTCTTCCTCTTCCTCGTCTTCGTCCTCGTCCGAGTCCGTCTCATACTCGGCTCCCGAGTCCGTTTCGTACTCTTCCGAGTCGTCCGATCCCCCTGACTCGGCTACAGCACCACGATCACCACAAACCAGCGTCAGTGCGTCCCATACCCTCTTCCACCCTGTCTCACAAACGACCACCAGCCTCCACAACAGCAAAAAGAAAGACCTACACTCCGAGTCGTTGAACTTGGAGCACCGCAAGTTCCGACACCGCAGACGATGCGCGGACGCGTGGTGCATGTTGCACTCCTACAGTCCGTACACCAGTATACCCACCCACATCCAAAGCGCAACAACGAGCATCAGCACCGCACCCCATTCTCTCTCTCTCTCTAAAGTACGACGACCGGGACCTACCCGAGAGCAGTAAAAGACCTCTCCACAGCCACTCATACACGGGATCTTGGCCCCATCAGCGCCGCAATTGCCGCATGGCTCCATGCTCTGCAGCGCCATCAGCAGGTCGTCGTCGTCGTCGTCATCGTCGTAGTTGTTCTTGGGCATGACGCCGTCGGCTTGTCTGCTTTACCTCAAGAGCAACGAGTGCGGGGACACTTGTGTCGACAGAAAGGAGCGAGACCGGTAGATGGACGTATCGACAGACGGCGAAATGCGGCCAGGAGGTCCGGGGGCGAGTCAGCCAGTCAAGGACGCGGAGGGAATCAGGGCCGAGCGCTCGTTCCCGCGGTACGAATCCGTCCTTCTTCGTCGATTGGCCTCTGGGTGGGGCGTGCGCCGGTCTTCTTTGCGCGGCGTGTTTGGGACTGGATTTTGCCCTCGCGCGTGGCGTGACTTGGCTTTAGTATGTGGAGGCGCGTGCACTTAAGCGGGAGCCCGCACGTCAGATGCAGCAGTCGGTTGTGCAATCGACGCTTGAGAGCACTCCTGGATTGCCTAAACCTGCGAAATCGCCTATCGACACCAGGTCCTAGTCTAGGCGCAAAGCTGACGAGCCAGTTCATCACGGCCAGCTGGTTCCGCCACTAGGATGGTGGGGATTCAGTTAATGAGAACGCGCAGCATTAGATCACGTGTCAACTGCACGTTTTTGAGCGACTGTTTCCATTGGACATGGGCGATCTCTGGTTTCTCGCAGTGCTGCTGAATATGTGTGCTGCACAACCGTACGTTCTAGTGACGCAATGCGTCGCTCCTTTGTCACGTGAGGGTTGCAAACCACAGAAGGACCCGTCTACCGATGAGTATCTAGCGCTCGTACTCCATCAAAGCGTTGCGAGTGGCAGAACGACCCGTCTACGGACGCATGTGTGGCGCTCGTTTATTTTCCCGTGAGAGCAGTCTCTGCACGCTGGATAGACTGGTAGAGACTCTCGTTCACGTCACAAGTATCGGGAACGATTCTGCGTGTGTACACACTGTTGTGGCGGCTTTTTGTGGTGCTTACGAACTGTACAGGCTGCAATCAGAATTACACACACTTGTCGCAGGTCAACGCAGTAATTTCGAGTCCCTTCGTAACGTCAGTTGACGATCGCCGTTCGCACTGAACCAAATGTCGCCGCCTGTCGATCCGAGCCCATTAACGTTGCCCAAACATACCGACCCAATTCGGATTATGCTAAAATGGGCTGCTAAAGTGACACATTCATCCAGGACGAACCTTCCATCGTGGCAGGATCCCTTGGTGGCTGCTGAAGGTCGCACGAGTGTACCGGCTCCAAGCAACAAACACACACCATCTGTCCACGTTCGTGCACACCACATTACATAGTGTTCCACACCAATACCTTATCCTGTCTCACCTCCCCAGCTCGAGTATCACCAAAAAGCGTTGTTGTGCCACGCAAGGTTCGCGCTACTTCAGCATCCCCATCAAGCCCATCTACTCCAGTGAAAGAAAAACCATCATTCGTCCCTCACAAGTCCCGTTCACGCAGATCTCTCCGCCCTCGCCGTGACTGACCATGGCCGGCGCAAGTACCCGAAAGAATGGCTCTACACCACAGACGCCCGAGCAGACGGGCACCACCCGCGCATCAGCGTCTTCGTCTCCCGGATCCGGTCCCGACGCGGACGAGCTCACGGCGCTCATCAAGGCCATCAAGTTTGCGCATCCGGAATTTGGCGTCAAGCGCGTCCACGACCACGTCGTGTCTCATGGGGGCAAGTTCACGCGCGTGCCTTTCAAGCGCGTTAAGCGCTACATGCACAAGATGGGGATGAACTCTCCCATGGAAGAGAGCAGCAAGGAGCCGTTGAAGCTCATGACCGTGGGCGGGGCCTCCAAGTCGCTGCGTGAGGGCGGCGTGGACGAACCTTCGCAGGCGTCGGACGAGATGGTGTGGCTGCCTGTGAAGCTGGACGAACCAGCGTCCAAGCTGCAGGAGTTCCCGTACCAAGCGGTGATTCGCGTGAACATGAACGAAGACGGCGATGCCGAGGGTTCTCTTGGAGAGATCTACAAGATCCAGGTGGCTACAGAAACCGACGGATCGCTGAGCACCATTCATCCCATGCTGGTTTATAACAAGGCACGGTCGCGCAAGACGTTTCTGCACCCGGACTCGCCGGCCTATCTACCGGTGCAACGACTGGTGGCAGCTGAAGGAACCAAGGGCACGATGGGTGGCTCCAAGGCTTACTTCTGGGGCCGGTACTTTAAAATTGAAGACATGCTGTACATCAACACGGTAAAGATGGCACCGAGCCAGCAGTGGTAGGGTGTCAACGTGTATCTCTATCTGTTGCACGCAGGAGAACGGGGGGTTGTGTCGCTTCTGGTGAGACTTCAAGATGCGATGATCAAGACGCAATCATCGAAGGGGAAGGACTTTTTGGGAATGGGTGTGGCCAGCACCAGTCAGTGAAAGTGCGAGAGCGCTTCGACACCTTGACTCGCAACGGTAACAAAACAAACAAGTCCCTCATTGCTGCACATTGTCAACCACGAAATGAAAACAAAACTCAAACCACAATGCTCAATCACTGCAGGCTTGTCACCGGGACAGTCAACACTGCTTGTCGACCAGCGGGCAATCCTCTCTCTAAGTCCCTGAGTAAATGGCGCACAGCACATCCATCGTCAATTTCTGGCCGAAGCCTTGTCGATAGAACAGCAATCAGGTGCCAAAGAGGCCACCTTCATCGTCACTGTCACTGTCACTTTCACTGCTGCTGCTGGCAGCTCCACCGAAGAGCGAACTGTAAGGCGCTGGAGGTATGGTAGTCTGAGGTGCAGCCTGCACGAATCCAGGCGTTGCAGCAGCAGGCACAAACGCTGACGTGCTGGACGGATCGCCAAAGAGGTTTCCACCACTGAGCGCCGGGGCGTGGTGACACTCTGGAGTGGACTGTGTCGGCGTCACAAGGGTCGGAGAGGAACTCATCGTCTCCGGTTTGGCGGCTGCAGTTTTTCCACCGAACAATGACTGGCCACCATTGTCGTCATCATCATCATCGCCGTCGCTCCAGTCACTCTCGCTCGAGTTGTCATCGTCCGAGGCTGCCGAAGCAGCAGCACCGAATAGGACCGGACCTGCTGGAACTGCGGCTACAGCTGGCGTAGGGGTCGATACAAGTGCGGGCTCCGGCGTGGCGGCAGGAACTGCTGTCAGAAGAGTTGGCGTCGATGCATATACGGGTACGGACGTCGGCGTCGGCGAAGACACCACTGGAGCTGGCGCAGGCACAAGAACCGGAGAAGCAGGAGGTTCGAGAACCGGAGAAGCAGGAGGATCGAGAACCAGCGCAGGTGTAGCAATCGTCGAAGAAGCGGGTCGCTCAAGGTTTGAAGCAGGCGTAATAACTGCAGGTGCTGGAAGGGGGGTCTCGACTGATTCGGCGGGCACTGGTGCAAAAGGCTTCTGCGCGACCCTCGAGGTCGGTGCGGGCCCACTAGTCGCTCCAAATGACGACGAAGCAGGTGTCGAATGCAAACTCGACGGTGCTGATGGTTTTGGCTTTGGCTGGTCAGTGACTACAAGCTCATCCATGGAGAAATTCGCCATCAACGCGCTAGGGAACCCAGCCGGTGCATCGGGTAGCTCCGCAGGGGCCTCGTATGTTGGCGCAAATGGATCGTCTTGAATCTCGTAGGGTTTCATCGGCGGCAACGGCTCGGGCTCCGGTAGCTTCTGCAAATCCGCTGCGGCTACAGGAGCTGGTACAGAAGTGGACGGCGTGGGCGTGTGCATCGACACGGGTGCGTACACTGTAGCTGGACTACGAGCAGCTTCCGCAGATACAGGTGATGGTAGTGATCCCATAGCTACATATTCGTGAGCCTCTGGCTTCGCGTCCTGAGCAAGTGCCGATGCCACAACAACGGCAGGCTTAGCTGCAGGTACTGCATCAGGCTCAACATCGTTGGCTCGAGGCACCGTCATCGCCTACGAAAAACAGTCAAGAAAAAGAGGTCAGCAAATTCGTTGTCTTCACCATGCAACATCAAGTGACATTGAGCGCACCGGGATCCGGAAAGCTCCTGGCGGTGGTCGCATCGGACCTCGACGCTTGGGTCCTGCCACACGGTTCATTGTCGTCTATAGCATCATCACATGTAATATCAGTATCGACGCTGTTTGTGCTATACAGTTCAGTTCATCAAAAGCGACACGTACATGTGAGTTGTCCAGTGCTGCAGTCGAAGCCTCAGCGCTTTGCTCCCCTTCTACAGCCGCTCCAGGGAGACGGAATTCCCGCTTTGTCAACCCAGGCATTGGAATCGCCGACCCCATCATACCGGGCATAGCAACACCCATCGCGTGTTTCGTGTGTCCATATTGCTCCTCTCCAGTGCTCATGATCGACTCTCGTTGGTACCCGACAGGCTGTCGGCTGCCCCCACTTTTCACCGGTCCCGATGGACGTCCAAATGGGTTCACATTGATCCCAAGACTGCCCTGGAGCTGCTGGATCTTGCTCGACGCTCGACGAAGTCCAGCCGCCTCTTGAGCAGCAGCAACAGCCGACGTATCCACACCCTCCGATGCTGCTGCCGTACAGCCACTACCGTCTTCTTGTCCCGTCTCCACTGCTGCTGGCTCCAAAGACGTCTCTGATTGGCTACAAGCTGGCGCAGGAGCCGCTTCTGCTGCGGCGCTAGCGGCTGCACTTTGCTGCTTGAGACGCGCGATCCGCTCAGCAATAGAGCTCTTAGCAGCCGATGACGCCGTCTTCCCAGCTGGAGGAGTGCTCTCTTCGACCGCAGGGGCCGCCGACGCGCTCTCCCCGCCGGCTTTGGCGCGGCGTCGCGCGAGTATCGCCGCCAGTTCGTTCGTCGCCATCTCTCGTCCGGGTTTTGGTCTTGAACCTTTCAGCGTCATCATGTCGCGAGGCTGGAGGAGGGTACTGAACCATACCGGTTTGATATCGTCTGATTGATAGAAAACAAGCAAAGACGAAACGGAAGAAAAAGTGCTTTTGATAACAATACATCAAGAGCTCGTATACTGGATAAAACGAATGTGTATACTATCTCAGGCACGTCAGCGAATTCAAAACAGAAGGACAAATGACTAGCATGCTGAAGTATCCAACCTGACACGGTTTTCGTGCTTCATATGTGTATCTCGCTCGTATTCACTTGTGCTCTTCACCTTCTTGTGTCCTATCCCGATTGAACAACGCATGATAGCCTCTGGTCTCTCTTGCGCTGCTTTCTTCGTGCCCTCTAAGCCGCATGGGCCCTGCTGACTACTACATATCTGCTGCTCCTGCTCCTACCGTCGTGGTCAATAGCGCCGTGTCCGCCGGAATCTGCGCAGCTCGTCACACGGAGGCATCTTCATGTCCAGCGCTTTCCGCGTCGCAGACTCGCGGTCTTCACTGCGAGCGTTACGGGCACGGTAGAGCATCCGTTTCTGCCGCAGCTTGAGGTTTTCACAAGTCTCAGCAAGTCGGGCCACATGCGCCTGCTCCACCATTTGTTCGACTCGTGTCAGATCACGCCAGTTCGTCGTATACCGCTGCTCAAAATCGCGCTCGACATAGTACGGAATGCCCTTCACCACGTTGGCCACTTGTGTCGCACGGTGCACGTGAAACCGCTGCGTCGGGTTCAAGCTGAACGGCACGTCTGGACTCGACGGGATCGAGAGCATTGACATGAGGAAGATCAGCAGCAGCGGTATAAACTGGACGAGATTTGCCATGGCGCCACGGGGTTGCTGCTGCTGCTGCTGCTGGTGGTGATGTCGAGGAGCTTGCGGTGGTGCGGGCCGACGTCCACGAGGACGGTAGCCACCACCAAAAAACATGTTGAACAGATCTTCCGGTGTAATGTCATCACCCTGGGCGTATCCGTGTCCCTGCGGTTGTTGTTGCTGCTGCACCTGGGTATCGTCTCCATAGCGGTCATAATGAGCACGCTTGTCCGGGTCACTTAAAACCGTGAACGCTTTTCCAACAGCTTTGAACGCATCCTCCGCTCCAGGCGCGCTATTCTTGTCAGGATGCAGCTTCAACGCCAACTACGTGACCCCAATCAACACCCAAGACAAGCAAAAGAACCAAAACACACACACACACACCACGTCACGACCCATATCAAGACACCCACGCCATCTTCTCCTCTCCTTCTCACCTTCCGGTACGCCTTCTTGACTTCACTATCTGTCGCACTTTGACGCACTGCCAGCACCTCATAGTGCGTCTTGCACGCCTTAATCTTGCGCACGACTTGCAGCTGTTCAGCCGTGTACGGCCGCAAAGACTCGGTCGATGGAGACCTGGATGGAGACGCGGACGGAGCTGCTCGATGCCGCGTTCCGGCACTTGACGCGCTGCCACGTGGTGACGTTGGCTGTGCTCGAGCCGTCGAGGCTTTTTCCAGCTCTCCCTGGGCTCGATTGCGCATCATCTCGACGCCGGGCAATGGGTACATGCGGAGCGACTTGTCCAAGAACTTAATGGCCTTGTCCCAATTGCCCACACGCAAGTGCTTCTTGCCAATCTCGAGGCATTTCTCGGCCTCCCCCTTGTTCATCTCCATCCTGTCGGATAAACCTGCGCGAAAGCTCGTAGCGAAGCGAATACTGCGGCGATTGAGCTCGAACTTGCACTTATAGACGTGCAAGACACTGAGGATGAGGGTAGATAGTAGCTGCTTAATATACGGGCGACTAGTGAGCGAGACACAGCCAAGGAGGTGGGGACAATGTCGGCGATGAGGGCGCGAGCCGAGCTGTGGACTGACAGCGCGTGTATTGGATGTCAGAGGGAGCTGGCAGGCATCGATTGAAACGTATTAGACAGGGTATGGAACGATCGAAACAACGTGGACTCAGTTCGGAGCCGACCCCTTGCTGAAAAAAAAGTCGAGCGACGATTGTTTTGGGCCGGGCGACATCTTGAACTTGGCTGGCGACTTGAGTGTGGACGTCTTTTTTGGTCGTGGTGGAGATGACACGCGACGGCGCTTTTGGTTCAGCTGTTCAGATTGAGTCGCCTCCTTTTCATCCGCGAAGCTTTTGCCCAGGAGCGAGGAGGCTGGCACAAAGTTGGTGAGAAACTGTTGACAGCGTTTTGCCAGCCTAGCGTCGGGGTCGACGCTTTGCTCTTCCTTTTTGACTGAAGAGCTGGCAACAGAATCACTGCTTAGTACCCCGTCCGTCTTGTCGGACGTTGTTGGTGGTATCCCTGGTGAAGACACCCGAGGCTCTTGCTTCTCTGCCTTGACTCCAAAGAACGACTTGATGTCGCCTGACAAAAGGCACAACGTCTCAGATACCAGATGCGCCACAACTGTTGCTGCATAATATACCTGCATGCTTAATGTTGATCTGCTTGGCGCATTCTTCACCTTGAAACTGCATCGATCCAACTGCATCGAGACATTGTGAGCTGGACGGCATTACAGGTTGCGTGCAAAGAATCGACAATAGCTTGCCTCTCTTGTCCACAGGATGCCACTTTAAGTCGCTTCCGCTATACGGTTTCAGCAAACCTTTGAGGTCTTCAAACTTTGCACCGGAAAGCCACCGACCAACATCTTCGTCCAGCGGCAAAATGACCTAGTAACTCCCGCACGTGTCATGCGACGGACATCGTGCAGGCAGTAAGTAGTATCACTTTCAAAAGCTGTTGCTGCAATCAACTTACCGGCATTCGGGTGTGCAACCACTTCATCTCCGACGCGATCGCAGTGGTGAGGATAGTATAGGTGTACATCAGCTCGTCTTCCTCGTTTTTCCAGCGATCGTATAGTCCTGCAAACTACAAAGCGGATCAACGTCGTCATACCAGGCACAAATACTCCAAGAACAGATCGTCGGCTGCAGCTCTTTGCTTACCTTCATCAGACTTTTCTCGCGGTAAAAGTAGTACGGCTGTTTCTCTCTTTTGTCGACTTGGTGCCACTCGTAATACCTACACACCAATCCGTCAGATCGCCCAACCAAACACGATAGTCGGTGCATCGTTGCGTACCCTTCACACACCACTACACATCTCTTTGACTCCACGAGTCTCTTGAACGCTGGTCTTTCCTTGAGACTCTCGGACCTGGAACAACAGTGTTCACATAATAATCCAGATCTAGCACACCCACCATTATCGTTGCTGTACCTGGCATTGAACATTAGAAAATGATCTGGCTTTGCATCAGCCTTGGTGAATGACGGAACAAGTCCCCACTAGAAGCAGTGAGAGAGTCAGTCGCCGACTCCATGCGTCCACAATCAATGCAATTGACAGTATGTTCCAAAGCAGCGCGTACCCACATGGCCTGAAGACGCGTCTTCGCTTTCGTCTCACTGTCTACCTTTTCGCCACCGCATTGCAAAAGCACTGGTCCGTATCGTCCTGGCCCCATATTCTCCACCGGTTTGTCTACAGGGACACACAGTGAGCGAGCGAGCGAGCAAAAGCCCCACCAGCATGTCAGCACTCTCTACAGGACATCGAGCTCTTGAACATTTCTTGTCCCTTGTCGTACATTTGTCTCCATCGGTAAACTCCTCCGGAGAGACACCCGCTGCTTCTGCCACCTGCTGACGCGCCAATGTGCATCGTGATCGGCCACACATATTCAAATGAGCCCGTTACGCTGGGACAAGTCGAGTATCGATTATGCAAGGTGAGCAGCGCTCGTTTATTCTGTGTACGTCGTTTCGTAGCTGCTGTGCTGCGACTCTGAAGATTCAACCACGACTTCCGTACAACGTCGCCGTACTGCTGTTTTTTCGATCAGGTCATGAATATTCGGAACCGACAAGTCCCAATTGCATCCTGGATCGGATGCACAAGGTGTCGTCAAGATCTATGGCATTGACGCTCAGCAGCAGCTCATGGCTTGGTACGAAGTGCGAGACTGTAGCGGATACGAGGTCACCAAGACGTCATGTGGCGATAGAATGAACAATCTAGTAGCTGAGGTAGTTCCTTCGCCGTGAGTGTTGCATCTCGTAAAGCTACCGATGCCGACATCCACATACCGACATGTCGATGGGAATTGAGAACAGTATTCGGATGAGTCGACGACAGCGACCCGATACTTTGCGGAGCTCACTGATCGTCTAACCATCAACTTGGTAGAGAATCGCTCGCGGACTGCCAAAGATGGTTTAGTAGTGCTGTAAAGAGCTCTTGGAACGCCCTGTCCGTGGTCCATTATTCGTACATTATCAAAGTCTTGCACTGCTTGAATAATGCTTTCTGTTCACCTGTAAACACTCCTACTTACGTCCAGAAGAAACAAGCATTGTTATTAAACCTCGCTTTCAGTCCCTCGACGCAATCACGTACACAGTCGAACATTTGCACGTGATTAGTCTTTTAAAGTCAGAGGCATGTCATTTGCTGTCCAGACAGCTCGGAAGTTACAGCTATGACCAGCAGCTGCATAGTACGACGCGCCCGCACGTCGAATACTCGCGCGCGTATTGCAGCCAATGCAACTAGCAAACGCCATGCGTCGTGAGCCCCGACTTCTGGTGCTTGAGATTGTTCTGGAAAGTGTGCACAATGTCCTTAAAGTGTTTCTTCTCTGCCTTGGGTGACGACATGGCCGCGTCCACCAACACGTGGTGCTTCTCGAGAGCCTCGATGGCCTTGATAATGTCTTGAACCAGCATGTTCGCCATATGCGACGAAAAGTTCTGCTTCACAACCACACGCATGATCGTCAGCGATTCGGCACCGCTGGAGCATGTATAGGCTGGAACAATCCATCCGCGGCTCTTGAGCTTATCCTGGATGTCAAAGCAACTGTAGCGCGACGAGTCAATCAGCGCAAACGCCACGAGCGGCATGTGCTGCTTGTCCACCACACGAAAGTGACCGGTAGCCACCAGCGCTTCGCGCAGCAGCTGTGCGTTCTTCATACTAGCTTCCATGATATGACGATATCCATCAAAACCAAACCGCAGCATGTTGTAATACTGCGCGATCACGTTGCCTGCACCCTTCGAGAAGTTGAGCGTGAACGACGCCTGGTCACCGCCCAGGTAGTTAACATGGAACACAAGGTCGTCCGGCAGGTCTTCCGGCTCACGCCAGAGAGCCCAGCCCATGCCAGCGTAGACGAGTCCAAACTTGTGGCCACTGACATTGATGCTCTTGACGTTTGGCAGACGAAAGTCCCACTCGAGCTCTGGGTTGATAAACGGCGCGATAAAACCACCGCTGGCCGCGTCCACGTGCACAGGCACGTCCCATCCATTGGCCTCGTTCACGGCCACGACCATGTCGTGAATCGCCTTAACGTCTTCGTACTCGCCGTTAAATGTGCTGCCGAGGATAGCACATACGCCAATCGTGTTCTCATCAATGAGCGGTTGCGCGCGCTCGGCCGTGAGCACGAGACAATCAGGCGATACGTCGCCTTCACGGTTCTCAATCTCAAAGTACTTGCACATCTTGTGCCAGCACACCTGCACGTTCGAGCCAAAGACCATGTTGGGCTTGTCGTACGGCAAGCCGGCCGCCACGCGGCGTTCCTTCCACCGACGCTTCATGGCCAGACCTGCCAGCATAATGGCCTCCGACGAGCCGATGCAGCCTGTGCCCGTGGCTTTCTGGTTCAGTTCGAGGGGCGCGTGGTATAGATTAGCAAGCATCGTCACGCAGCGATTGTGGATCTCGGCTGTCTGCGGATACTGGTCCAGGTCAATGTAGTTCTTGCGCAGCCCTTGGACCATCAAGTCCTCGGCCTCGGGCTCCATGTACGTCGTGACGAACGACGCCAAATTCATCTTGGGGTTGCCGTCCAGTGCCAGCTCGTCCTTGATGAGCTGGTGCGCCACGCGCGCAGGCACCGAGTGCTGCGGGAACACGTCGAACGGCAGGTTCGCACACATGAGCGGGTGGCCGTACACGCCGTCCGTTTCGTGCTGGACGCTGACGTTGTCCAGGTCCTTTTCGCTCGTGTTCATCTGCATGGTGGATGATGGGGAGAGGGAGAGGGAGGGACGGCGGGAGATGATCGATCGGAGCTGGAGCGCGCAAATTCGAGAGTGACTGACGAAAGGAAAGCGATCTTTTGATCTTCAACTGTCACCGTCGTACTTAGCTGAATCATTGAAAGCCGATCGGTCGTCGGAGCTGTTATTGCAATACAGAGGAACCTCTCGGTAAGCATACCACAAGGACAAAAGTACCTCTTGATCGAGTTTCTCGTCGGACAATTTATGGAACGCTCATGCACTCACTATCTGTTGCTGCAAAGGCTAATGTCCCATCTTTTCTTAGGGGTTGCTTCTAGATTGATCGATCGCGCGCCGGGTTTCGGTGCTGTTGATTGCAGTCTCAAAGTTGCGACTTTCTCCCTAAGTGCGCGTATAACCGAATGGACTTTACATGTTGATGTGTGTGTACGCGGTAAAAGTCGCATGCGAGTAAGCGCGTCGTACCTGATATATCGTGGTAGCCTCAGCTTGCTAATAGGGCATGCACATACCGTCGAGACTCAATCCATCTTGACAATGCCACCTGGCACGAGCGCAGCTGCCCGGAACAAAGGCGATGCGAGAAAAGATGAAATCTCATTTGCATGGCCGTTCAATATCCGTGCAAACGTGATGTTTCCGACCAGATTGTCCCGTATAACAATCGCGAAGAAAAGAGGGAACGTCGGCTGAAGCTTAACAACCAGGCTTTGCTATATCACTCCCAAGAGAGCGAAAAGCCAGACAATCATCAACGAGGGGTCATCGTGACCAAACGCAAAACTCCAACTGCAAATGGAGCCACGACAGCGGCCAGCGTATGCTGCAAGAGGACCTGCAGATCGTCGTCAAGACGTCCGTCAATACCAATATGCACACAATCATCATTTCTATTACATTGTCGCTGCCGCTTACAATCGCTGCTTCCCGCCGCAACGCAATGGTGCTACTCGTTGCTGCTGACATTCCTGATTTTTTCCTGCACCTCGTCCTACAAAATAGAAACATAATCACATAACAGAGGGTCAGTTGCCACTTATGTACCCACATGGGTTGTACATACGCACGAAACACACAAAAATCAGAACCCTCGCTCGAGCTGTCCCTACCTGGAGACGAGAAAAGAACTCTTTCGAGTTGGAGAACTGCTTGGACGTCCCCTTGATCTGCTTGCCCGTCGTGATGTTCTTGGCACTCGCAATGCTCTCGAGCATCTTCTTCTTCTCGTACTTGTTGCCCAATCCAGGGTTGAGTTTAGCGACCAGGCGCTCGTCAAACTCGTGCTGGCGCTTCTCCTTTCTCCGTGCGTGCTTCTTGGCATTACGCAGCGCCTTGCGCTCAGGCTGCGTCATCTCTTCCTTCGATTGCAGCACGGCTTCACCGCGCTTGCGCTTCTTCTCGTACACCTCTTCGGGTGCCTTCAAGTTTGCATCGCTCACGCTGAGAGGTACCACCTCCTCCATTGCAATCGCAGGAACAGCAGGCTTGACCTGCAGCTCCTTGACAGCTGGTTTGGGTGTAAAGTGGTAATTCGACAGGGCATCGAGCTTCCAGCAAAGGCTTTTGAACATCACGTCAATCTCCTCTTGGTCCTGCTTGGACTCATCATCAGCCTCGAAGCCCATGGCCGTTTTCATGTACTCCTTCTCGTAGATTTCACCCAGCCCCTCCTTCGACTTTTCCATTGACACCTCCTCTAGCTGCTTCTTCTTGTCCCCCTCGTTACCAGCAAACTTACGGATCACATCGTCAAAATCGTCTTCGAGAATACGCTTCTTGATCATCTCCTCAAGCGCAATCGACACTTCCTCTGTAATCACAGGAGCTGCCTTCACGGGTCTGTCGTAGTCAAGCACCGCTTCTAACAAACTGTTCTCCGGTCGAGCGGCCGAGCGCACCTCACCTTTTAACAGCCACGGCTTCTCGCCGATAGCCTCGTGTTCTAGCTCTTTGATCTCTTTCTGAAGTCGTAGACGCTGACGCTGATGAGACGACATTATGCCTCGCTCAGCGAGCTCTTCATCATCGACAATCTCTTCAATATCAGGTTTTGCGCGCTTTACGGTCGGGTACTCGTCTTCATCATTGTCGTCTGCAGGCTTCTCATCGTCATTCAGCTCTTCCTCCTCGTCACAATCCTCTCCATCTTCTGGATCATCTTCATTTCCAAAAAAGTCACCGTACTTCATCTCCTCCGCGGCCTCAGCATCCGAGCCTTCTTCCATCTCAGAGTCGTCACCATCATCTTCAACACTTTCACCATCAGCTCCACCATCAACACCGTCCATATCTTCGTCCTCATCCTCATCGTCTTCATCCTCTTCTTCTTCAGCCGCTTTGTCCATTTCATCCCAGTCGAAGAATCCATCCTCCGCAACATCACGAGCCTTCCTGCTCTTTTTCTTTGCTTTCTTCACTTCATTGCCATCTATGTCCAAATTGGCATCAGCTACCTCTTCGTCATCACGGAACTTCTCTTCACTGCTAAGCGTCTCCTCTTCGCTCTCAGCGTCACTCTCAGCTTCTTGCTCCTCCTCTTCTCTACTTTCCTCCTGCTCTTCCGATAGAAAGAGCTTGATCTTGCCCGGAGCTTTCCTGAACGAGCGGATGCGCTGGGTCATCTCCGCCAGCAACGGACCATTCAGCAGACGGAGCTGCTCCCACACCTGGTCTGCATCAAAGCCGTCCACGTAGAGCTCGTCCAGTGGCTGAGCACCACCAGTGTTACTCTGGTACTTGGAGGTACGATCATACGCGTGCTTGGCAAACGCTTGGATCTCCTTTGCGACGTCGTCTGATGGCGTGAAGAATACCTGATGGCAATGATGATGGGGTAGGGAAAGCGATTAATTGGATCTTGTTAGTTACAATGAGAACACATTGATGAGAACGAGAGAAACACCGTAACATCCGAACGTACCTCTGGCTGTTCGACGACCTTCTCGCGGAAGCTCGTGACCACAGACGCGTCCATGACAGTCTCGATCGACGAAAGCTTGCTCGAATTCGTGCTCCAGTCAAATTGAGTGGTACATATTATAACGCCTGGACGAACCATTGGCTCGAAAACAGATGACATAAAAAGGTACTCTAGTCGATTTGGCACAGAGTACCACCGCCGACACTGAAAAGCGTCATGTCTCGCGCGTGGTCAGCTTCATCTTTTGTAGTGTCCGTTGATTTGTCAATACTGACATGAGATACTCATGGTTCGGCCTGGAAAGATACTGGCAGAGTCTACCTACGGCTTATTCTGTTCTGTCTCTGAATTCTCTACTACTGTTTTCAGCTGAATTCGGATTCATCACCTAGCTTGTTTTAGACCAAAAGCACGAAGGCTAAAAGCTCGACTAAAAGCTGAGCTGATACAGGCAAATAGCAGCAAGCGGTGCGGCAGTGTGACGTCAATCTTTACAATTCGGTAGCTCACTCGTACCTTCAGCCTACCACTTTATCGTCACTGCATCCACGCGACCATTGCCTCTCACTAACTGCTCTACATTTCGGTCTGTAGAATCGAACCATCACCTACTCAGATGTCCCTCATTTGCCTTTTCGAGGCTTTTTCTTGGTCTTGGCCTCATCCTCGTCACTTGATAGTCCGTCGCGTGGGATATCCGCCCAGCCACCCGGTGGCAAGTCCGCCAGCTTGCGAGCATGGCGCTTGATGAATTTGTTCATGGAAAACATAGTGAACGAGTCCCGCTGAAAGACCCGTTGCATCTTATCGTCCAAAAGAATCGTGCGTTTGTCCTGCGGGTCCTGTAGCTCGTGTTCATGAATGTATGCCCACAATGCCTTTACAATCTGCGGCCGTGCCATTAAATCAGTGCCAACGAGTGAAGCCAGTTCCGGCGACAGGGATAGCTCCACGTTGAATGCATGCGTCTTGGTCTTGCTGTCGTTGTCTCCTTCCTCCGTCGAGGTCGTTTTCTTCTTCCGTTTCACGGCCTTCTTCTTCGGCTTTACTTCCGTGTCTTCATCACTCGACACGCCATCCCGCGGGATCTGACTCCATCCACCAGGCGGCAAGTCATCGGGCTTGCGCACATGGCGCTTGACAAACTTGTTCATACTGAACATCGTGAACGACTCCCGTTGAAACACAGCGCGCAGCGTATCGTCCAAGATAATGGATTTTTTGTTGTTCGGGTCCTGCAAATTGTGCTCGCGAATATACGCCCATAGAGCTTTTACCACTTGAGGTCGTGCCATCCTGTCTGCTCCCACAACCTGCGCGAGCTCCGGGGACAGGCACAACTCGGCATTGAACCCCCCTATAGCAGTTTTCTTGCCGTCCTCGTCTTCAGTCTTGCGGTTGCGTTTCTTCTTTGGTGTCTCTTTCTTCGTCTTCTTCTTCTTGACAGGCGTCGACTTTTTCCTGCGAGCGCGCTGCTCGTCGTCGTTGGCGTCTTCGTCCTCTTCACTTGGTTCCGGCTCTTCTTCTTCATCATCATCATCTTCTTGCTCTTCTTCCGCTTGTTGCTCTTCAATTGTTTCTAGAATCGTCGCGTTGATCACGTCTTTATAGCTGGACAAATCCGCGCGAAACTGCGTCTCCAGCTGCTTGCGGATCATGCGACGCGACAGCTGCTCCAGATCTGCGTTCTTGAGGATGACGCGGATGGCCTGTGTAAGCTGCGTCACGTCTATAGCAGGCATCATGGACTCCTGACTCGGCGCCGGCTCCGTGCTCTCGCTCATGGGAACGAATAGCTCCAAATTAAAGGCTCGATCCCTCTGACTCCAAAAGAGACCGACCACTTACTCACAGTGGATAAGTTGGTATACAGTATACGTTGAAAGTGTCCAAATCTACTGAGGTCGAGTGAATATTTAGCGCAACATGTTGACATTTGCGTGTCGCACGAATGGATTTCATCAGTTCGAAAGCCTGCAAAGATTGATATCGTGCAGGGGTTATGAAAGCGACACGACAGAAATAGGCGTTTCGGTACGTACTAGAACCCCAGTCTGATAGTCAATGTGTTGCAGAAACATGCGCAGCTACAGAGTAAAACCTCTCTTTGCTAATCTCTTATTAACTAATTAACCTTCGTGGTTAATGACGAATTTCGGCCTGATATTGGGCAAAAGAGATCGGCTAATAACTTCTCTTTCTTAATACTTAATAGCATTCGAACAAGCTCCAGCATAGCAGTTAATGTTTGTTAAGGAAGGAGGCTACTTGCGGGTAAAAAGCTGTGCAGAGTCGATCGAACTTGTCTCCCCATTCCATGCTTGGCCACTGCATCCCGCAGCTTGCGCACCATTGCCAGATGCTCTGATTGGTCGCCATCTTGCTGGAGAATGAAGAGACCCAATACCTCCAAAGAGGCCTTTGCCTCACGCAGCCTGATTGGCGCCTGCTCTCTGCTACCATCGTCCTCTTCGGCTTCAGCACCTTGTCCTTTTTCCTCTATAAGGACAAATAAGGGCGACAAGTTTCACCCTCGGTCGGTAAAAACGTGACGGTGTGTTCACCGGGGTAAGTCAGGAAATTTCGAATGTCCATAGGATAGTCGTAGCGTCGATGATGAACCTGATCCGACCGTTAGGCAATGATGTCTGCAATCAGGCTCCACCGTCTCTTCTAAATTGTGTGGTGTGTCGACCACTGGTGTGCGTAACGGGGTGAATCGTTACATAACAACTTATAAGAAATTGTTAATAGAATTTAATTATAAGAGTTATATTCTCAGAATATTGTCATAAGGACAAATATTCTGTAGCACTTACGAGTAGTTCCTAATTGGTTGATATAGGCCATTATATCAACCAACGAAGACGCGCCACGACAGACGCACGCAATGAGTGGTGAGCAGATAACTGATTTACACATTTGTATTTAGACATAGTTAGATGAAGATAAGTAGTGATTTATTGCAGACATTAACTATACTAAATACAGTTCTACTTTTTACTTTAACCAAGTACTCGCTTCTTCTTACCGTCTTCCTCTGCACGTACGAGTGTACGTGAAGTTCCGAGGCACCGCCTTATTCTGTCATCAGAATAAGTAGCTTGTACTGTCACCAGTACAAGCTTCAGGGTGCCCCGTAACACCTGGTAGCACTTCGTAGTCCGTCCAAGGACCGCGTTCACATCCAACATGAATATGTTGGATGATGAAGATGACCAAAGCTTTCACGCTACGCGTGACGGCTACTCCCATTTGAGCGATGTCGAATGGGATGCGGTTGAACGAATGGGTTCGACCATGGGCATCCATGCTGTTAGCGTCATGCTAGAGGCTCTCAATAGAGATGCCCAACATGCTACTATCGCCAAGTTCATTCAAAATGAACTTGACGCAGAACGCGAGAAAGTAGCCTTGCTTCACCAACAAGGTTCTCAACAAGCAGAGTTGTTGAGAGAACAGGGTGCTCAACAGTTTGAACTGTTGAGACAGCAGCAGGCTGCTGCTGGTGGGTCGATGCATTCGCGTCGACCCGAGACCTTGAAGATTGACATCTCCAAGTATAGGGGAGTCGAAGAGGACTCCCTCTTGAGATGGTTCGTCGAATTGGATGACGCCATAAGGGCGCGTCGCATCGACGACGGGGATATGCAAGTTGCATTTGCCCAGTCAAATCTGGCAGGATGTGCCAAGACTTGGGCACTGGGGCTCAAGTTGCACGACCCATATGCGTTTGGGTCGTTGGAAGTCTTCAAGTCGCGGCTCAGACAAACGTTTGAACCGCCTAGAGCTGAGTTCAGGTCTCGAACCGAACTCTTGAAGCTCAAGCAGGGTAAGCGTGATGTGCACGCTTACGCGCAACATATACGACATCTCACGAGTTGTATAGGTTCCAATCCGGTGGATGAACACACGTTGGTTTCGGTGTTCATGCAGGGTCTTGCGGATGGTCCCGTCAAGACTCACCTGTTCCGGCTTGAACTAGATTCACTAGAACAAGCCATTTCCATTGCGGAGCAGGAAGACTTCAGTCTGAGACAGGCTCGCGCCAGCTCGACATCATATCGTCAACCGAGACGATATGACAACGGAGGTCCAGAGCCGATGGAACTCTGTTATGTAGAGAGCGAGAAGGATCGCTCTACAGGCTACAAGAAGTTGCAGCGATGCAACAGATGTCAAAAGACAGGACACTACGCTTACGAGTGTAGTGCCCCTCGTCCAGTGTCTCGCGACACTGGGCGTAGTGACCGTCCACCCATGAGAAAGGGGCAGGGACGCGGGTCCGCTGTTGGTGCAAAGACGCAACAAAGGGATGGACCGTCAAAAAACGGACAGGATCAGTAGGTGCGGAGCACCCTACTGGTCCAGCAATGTCAAGAGAATTTGTAGGCCTCTTGATGAAGGTTGCTCCCAACACACAAACGTTGTGCGTTGCTGCTCTAGGTAATGAGATCTCACTCATTACCTTGAAACTCGAAGTGACAAATAAGTTGTCCCTTCGAGCTCTAGTCGATTGTGGGGCGTCCAACAATTTTGTGCGACGCCAATCGCTAGAAGATGGTCACTTTAAGTTCAGTGAATGTGACACACCTCCTACGAGGATGACGGTACGTCTTGCGACAGGCGCATCCGTAACCGTCATGAAGCGTATAGTGAAGATCCACTATACGCTAGAAGATACCCAATATGACGATGACTATATCGTATTGGATTTGGATGAAAAATTTGATGTCATCCTTGGAATACCGTGGCTCAGAAGGTACGAACCACGAGTAAACTGGCAACATCGAACAGTAACGATGCCTGCCGCTTGTTCATCAGATGGCCATCTGATGAACGTTTTGGAGCGTCCACAAGCGTGTGGATGTACTACGAGTGAGTGCGATGGCCTCACTTGTGGTACGGTCGTTAGTACGACTGCACAAAACCTTAGTGTACCAAACGGTTACACTTCGGAGCAAAGTTCCGGCGGCTGTGAAGAAACACAGGCTGCGCCGAAGGTCCACCACTCGAATAAGTCGAGTGGACCGGGACAAAGATGTATCCCTAGCGGGGAACATCTAGAAGAGAAACAATCGATCGCTCAGGTTAAGCGAAACGATAATCCTAGATCGACTGGAGAGTCTTTCGTAGAGGATCTCGCTGTGGTTGCGCAACCCCAGCTAGAGGAAGTAAAGGGAATAAGTCCCGATATTACAAATACGGCGGAAATAAGTTCCCCGAAACCCGCGGGAATAAGTCCCCGGGAAGCCGAAGGAATAAGTCCTTCGAGGCCTGAGGGAATAAGTCCCCAGGAAATGACAGAGACATTGAATGTCATAGTCAATGACGGATCAAGTGTAGGCACTTATACACTTGATCTGATTGCGCCTTCGAAGTTAACTTCGGAGATCACTCAGTTGCCAACGCTCGAACACGAAAGGTTCTTGCGTGATCTGCGTAGTGGCAAAGTCAAGCAGATCTGCGTACTCGTCGCTGAAGACGAGTGTGTAACCGACATAAGGTCAGCAAAAGTGTTTTCTTAGAACGAGAGAGTTCTCAGTAGTTCATCTATGGACGAGAGTGTCCTAGATGAAAAGACACGAATTGAGCGATATGACTCCCAATCGTGAGAATCGCTCAAGACAAATCCTCTCTATGAAGATTTGGTTGAATTCAAGGATGTATTCCCCGAAACTGTTCCGTGCGAATTACCGAAGGATAAAGGTATTCGACACGAGGTCGAGCTTAAACCAGGCTAGAAGTACTGTGTCATGAAGCAGTGGCCACTGCCCCGTGAACAAGTACTTGCGATCGACAAGTTCTTTGCCGATCGTTTAGCAGCGGGCCATGTGAGGGATTCAACTTCCCCACATAGCTCTCCGACCTTCTATGTGCGAAAAGCAACAGGAGGGTGGCGGATAGTGCACGCGTTCAACAAATTGAACGCTGCAACGGTACCGGCTCAGACGCCGATACCGAGGAAGGACGTAATCATTGATGGTATGTCAAAGAGTACCATCTTTTCGTCCATGGATTTGATGGATGGCTTCTATCAAATCCTTATGCGGGAACGGGATATACCCTATACCGCAGTTAGCACGCCTAGCGGCATGCTCTGGGAATGGCTAGTAATGCCCCTGCCACGTTCAACAGATGTGTATCACATCTGTTGAGACCAGTACGAGAATTCGCGCCGAGTTATTTCGATGACGTATTCATCCATAGTCGAGCTATGGATGGAAAGTCGGACGTTGAGGTTCACAGGTACCACGTCCGACAGGTTCTTACAATCATGCGAAAGCATCAATTGTATGCAAACCTCAAGAAGTGTATATTTGCAGCAAGCGAAATACCACTTCTTGGGTGCATCGTTGGTAAGAACGGTGTACGTCCTGATCCCGAAAAGATCAAGGCGATCACCGACTGGCCTGTGCCAGTCGACGTCAAAGGACTTCGAAAATTCCTTGGGCTAGCGGCGTATTTGCATAAGTATTCACGCAATTACGCCGAGATGACTGTGCACCTCTCTCGTTTGTTGAAAAAGAACGAGAGGTGGTTATGGAACGCTGAATGTCAGCGCTCCTTTGAGGGTATCAAGAAGAGCTTGATACAATCCCCAGTCCTAGCGATTGCCGATCAGGACAGGCCATTTCATGTTGTCTGTGATGCCAGCGATTTCGCAATCGGCTGTGCATTAATGCAGTACGACCTAGAAGGCGTTGAACGCGTCGTCTGCTATCAGTCGCGTCAGCTGCAACCAGCTGAGCGGAACTATCCAGTGCATGACAAGGAACTCCTT